ATCCACCAACACAAGAACACCAGTCCAGAACCAACAGCAGAAGAACCCGCTCTGAATCAGTCCGTGTCGCTGCGGCTCAGACACACAGGGATTTATGTTTTTGGTGGATTTAATCAAGTCTTGGATTGCAGATTATGAATGTCCTCTTGCTATTTTTAGACGATAAATACTCCTCTCCGTTCCTCCAAACCCCGCCCCCTCCCTTAAAATAATGAGTGACAGGCTGATAGTAACCCGATAGAAACTTTATTATTCACTTAGTCACTGATTGAGATATGATGAAGCTAACTTAATCTCATACATGCATGGGATTGATGTAACAGTAAGAAAGAGAATGGAAGTTTGCACCCACATGCACTATTTTTGTTTTTATAATGCTGTTGTAAATGCTCCTGTTGTCTGCTGTGTTCAGACTCAAGTCATGTGTGTGATGCCACATTCAGTGTCCTTTCTTTAACAGAAGACCGTTGCTAGAAGCTGCAGCTAGACTGCAGAAGCATTAGTTTTTAGTTTTTGAGGATGGAACAATTTCACACACAGATAAAGGGAGGCTAGACCAATACAATTGATTTATTTGGTTTATAAATTAATGTCAAGTCATTTATGTTGTTGATTTCTGAAGCACTTTCTAAATAATAAAAAGGGAGTTCATATTTATCTTACTGCATGTATTCATTGATGAAAAAGAAGCCATGTGCAGTATATAGAAAATTGAGGATGCAACGCATTGGTATGAATCGTGATGCATCGGGATATCGAATCGGTGACAGGATAATCGTAATCGAATCGTGAGACCAGTGAAGATGCACAGCCCTGCTGGTGACACGTTCCTTCATCACCATAAACACACACACTCTACTTTATTTTGACTTAATCCCCCACAAACCACTCTGTTGCCACAAATAATCCTTAGGTTTGTAGTTTGAGTAACATTTGTTAAAACAATAACTATTTATTGGTGAGGTGTGTTTGAAGATGTACTTCTTCAGTTGGAGCCCACTTGGACCTGAGCCTCAGAATGAAGATATTTTACAAATCACTCTCCTTTTAAGACCGAAATGTCTACATGCATAGCAGAAGATGGCATCTTTTTTACAGGAATATTCCAGCCAATCTCTGTTTTGAAACCATGAGCTGCAAAATGAGCGCCTTCCCCCACTGTACAGGCGAGTTGGGTACTTTTTTAAATATACCTGAGCAGGCTCTGTTTTGCCGGCTGCTCCGCCTCCGTGGGCGAGGCGGGCAAAGCCGGGCAATTTTCTGATGTCCACCATTGACTGCTGTGTAAGCACCTTGCAGATAGCGAACGCGCAGCGGCACAGGTCACGCGCACCTGACATTTGACCAAATAAATGCAGCAGACAATGTTATTTAACCACAATTACAATTTATTTTACTTCAACTATATTCTTCTTATTATTCGTATTATTATTATTATTATTACTACTATTATTATTATTATTGTTATTATATATGTAATATATTTCACTTTCCTTTTTCAAATGAGGGTGCATAACGACTCAACTGAGGGTGCAATTCACCCCCGTAGAACCAGGCCTGAGCAGAAGCTCTGGTAAGGATTCTTATTGTGTGTGTGTGTGTGTGTGTGTGTGAACAAGCAGCGAGGACACACACGGAACAGTTGGTTTAAGTTTCTACTATTCATATCTGAATTTAACAACCCAATAAATACTACAGAGGGAAACGGAAACATCTATGAAAAATATGGGAGCGTCGCCAAAAATCCCTCCGCATTACGCCCTCATCATGAAATGAAAGCTTTATCGTTTTCTGAGGTCAGAATGATTATATATTATAGGTCTATATATGTTGATACAAAGCTAGACTACTGCCTGACTCACTGCTGCTGTTCCTCTGAGTCTGAGATAGACACACGTTGTCGGATAATTAACCTCCGTGTTTTGATATGAAGCCGGCGTTCAGGAAGCTGTGCTCTGATGGTGTGGATAGGGAGGAGACTTTTTGCCATCGTAGTTTGCTCGTCCTTTACTCGCTCTGAAGGATCCACACTTTGCATTTCCTGCCCAACCAAATTAACTTAATGACCAGGCTCCGGCGTCATATTTATATATATTATTATTATTTTTTAGACGAATGAAAAATAGCCCGATTAAGACTTTATTAGTCTACTAGTGATTAGTTGACTAATAGAGGGCAGCACTAAAGCTGAACACACAATTGATAATAGAAAAGAGGTGAAGCATGAATGGCACTATTTTTAAACCTGAACCTTGATTTGCAGCTCCAGAATGGGGATGATGTGTGTGTCCCTGCATATGTGTGTTGTGCAGTAACTCTCTCTCTGCTATCAGGTGCTCCTCTTGCTCACCTTAGAACTAGGAGCACAGCCACCCTGACCTGCCTCGAGCAGCAGATTCTCTCCAGAGGTACAGTTCAGAGTTTAGCCTCGGGCAGCAGCACATTCACTGTCAAAGCTCTCATCCAGACATCATCAGTTCTTCCCCATGGCTGCTGTGACATGAGGCAATACAGATCTGTAGTGTGGATCGATCAAAAGGAGTCAAGGGTCAAATGTTTCCTAACAGCAAATGCTGTCGAATGTGAAGACCCTTGGGTGTAGAAGTGGGTTTAGAAGTTAAGACAGGACCATGCACTACAGAAAATTCAGAAATCGGAATTACATTATAAAAAACTATTAAAAAAACCTATTATAACATTAAAATATAGAGGAATATTTACATGATATATTGATATACCAAAAAAAGTTGATCATTATAATATGATATAGCTTTCCATTTGGAGTCCCACCTGGACCTGTGTTGCTCTCCTCCCTTGTTTCCCGTCGTCTGAACTGTGGCCATATATAGGTTTAAAAAAAATGGTCCAACAAAATAAAGTTTTATTATATGTTTCAGCCTCTAAAAAGTGAACACAGGTTAACGGCAATTTACCAAATCAAAAGATAGAATGAGCAGGAATATTGTCTGTAATTTTGGATTATTTGCTAGTGCCTAAACATAGAAATAAGCCAGGGCATTATCTTTTGCATATGATGCAAATTGTTTTACATCAGTCATCATCATAAAAATAAATGTAAGTATTTTAAAGCACTCACTTTGAAACAAAGTGTTGGAAACACAAATGCCTCAAATTTAAAGAAAGCTAATTATGATTTTAAAGTGTGTTTTTAAGTACCAATGGTTCCATTGAATCAACAGTATATGTCAGAACCAGAGGTGGCGTTAACCAAATATGTTCCGTCTATGACAGATTTTTTTTAACAATGACGGAAAAATCTGAAAGCAGTCCGTCATTTTGACAGATTACAACAAACTCAGAACTGCGCCAAAGTTTGCCCGCAGCAAAGCTCCGGTGTTATGCCGTGTTATGCTTGCCCGCCAAAAAGGAAATGATACCGTTTCCAAACCTAACTTTGCCGTACAAATCATTGAAATGTCTGCGAGTTTTTGCTTTACACTCTGTGCGCTCCCGCGAGGTGCAGTGGGCATGCATAACACGGCGTTAACAGTTCACAGCGACCCTGGAATTGATTCTATATCTTGCCCGAAAATGCCACTACATATTCATACGTCTCACACGTAAGAGAGAGTAACCGCATACGTCACGCTTACGTCGGAGGCGGGCGAGATTAACCTGAGCTAACAGTTAAAGGGCAAATGAAAGTTGTAACAAGCAGTAGTGCTGAGCAAAGTGAATAGAACTCAACCACATAAAAAAAACACACTTTATAAAGTCAGGCAACACTAACCAGTAACCAGGCTTCGTGTGATTCTGTTTATTTGTACCTTACTTTGACCATCCGTTCGCTGTTATTGATCATTGTGGAGAGCAGGCAGGCGCTTTGTTTTGTATTATAGCAGCTATCGGATGGAATCAATACATGGGCTGCACAGGTTGTCATGTCCGATTAGAATTAGATTAGATTAGAACTACTAAGTAGAATCATAATGAACACTACGCCGGTAAAATGTGCCTGTAGAAAACGGCTTATGCCACAATAGGATAGCAACAACAAGTAGTCAAGATAGTCAGTTTAGCTTCGGTTGCTATGCTAACATCACCCATTTTATACCAGAGAAAATTTCATAACAGCGTTGTGATGCCAAACAGCGTCAATTCATGCTGAAACACATTCACTTATGGGGAACTGGGGATATGTATCAGCTGCTTGTGTGACAGTCAGACAGTGAATACTTTGCAGCGGCCACTGCCGTGTGAGCTAACCCGGAGCTAACGGGAGAATAAACTCCGGTGGACGTGCAGCACTGCAGCGGTCGGTAAATGCCGCTGAAACACATGAATAAACAATGAACCGTGGTTCATTGTTTATTAATGCACTCTGGAGAAAAGTATAAGGTTGGAGAAGTCGTTACTTAATTTAATCTGGCTTCGTATGATTAAAAGCAACACGATCATCGACCCGACGCAGTCCCCCATTGTTGTTGTAGTGAATGCCGTTGTGGAGAAAATCAGTGACGCCATGACGCAGCAGCGGCAGCACCAGTCGGGTTCTGGGCGGTGTGAACAAAACGGACGCTGAAAAGAAAAACTGGTTCCGAACCAGAAAAGCTCTAGCACGATGCTAGAACGGGAACCGCGTTGGTGTGAAAGGGGCATGACTCTCTCCCCGCCCCCACAAGTAGAGGACACTCTATTCAGCAGTGTGTGGCTGCCGCTACACATCACAGCTGTTTGACTGTATACTCAGTGGTGCTGATGGTATACAGTTGTAATTACTCATTAGTCTAAACAATATTCAGTCTGGCCTCTTCAAGTTTAAAATCCAACACCAGGGAAACACTGGCCCTCCACTTAAACGTTTGTGATGTACACACAGTGTTCCTCCTCCTGTCTCTCTGGAGCCTTGCTTCTGTCCTGCGCTCCAACCATCCACAGCAGCAGCTGGGTCGGGAGGCAGGCTGGAGCCAGGTCTCAGCAGTGGAGCAATATATATTCAGATTATAGCCTGCCTCATCTCTCCACCTCTTCAGACAATTTATAGGCCTCTGATTTGTGTTTTGCCAGAACAGCATGACTTGCTTGTCATTTGCTTTCCGCTGCATGGCCTATACTCGTGATCCATTTTGAAAATGTACTTTGCATTTGGGCGGATTAGTTTGTTTGATTTCTATAGATTGTTGCATTGTCTATGATGTAGTAGAGAACAATGCTTTGGTACATTTGATTATTGTAATATCTGACGATAGTGGCATTTCTTTCGTGTCGCACATTGTTATGTTACTTTTGATAAATCAATACCTTTTTGAAGGATGATGTTTAATCCTTAGTGTAATGCTCCCTCAGTTGATCCCTATGTGTAAAATAAGTGGAGAGCCCTTAAAGGGAAGCACTCCAATGCACCTGTGTCTTGTCTGCTTGATCTCACAGTTAAAGAAGAGTAGTGCATGGCTGTTGGCATCGACCATACTCTTCTTCAGTCAGCACTGAATCCTGACCCGGGCTGATGGGTTTCTTTTGTCTTTCAGCTGATGTGAAGCTGTCCAAGAGGAGGCAGCCGTTTGTGCCCTACGCTCTGCGAAACCACACGGGATGTACCATGTGGTTCGCCACTCTGACTACCACTCCTACAAGGTATGAGCAGCCATAACCATCTCCACGTGCTAATAACTGGACATGAATGAATGCTCAGCAGATCAGAACAAGTATCCCAGGATCAAACTCAAGGTGCACTCACTTGGACCTGGGTGCTTCTGTCTAGAACAGGTGTGTCAAACAAACGGCCCGCCAGAGGGTACAAATCGGCCTGCGGATAGGAAAAAATTGTAGAGAAGATCTTAACTGCAATTTTCACAAATTGTATGTATTTGTATGTATAAAGGTTGTACATTTACGAGGCAGGCGGATAACCTTCTTCTTTAATAGATCCTACTTTAGTTTGTATGGTGTAGCGTTTCAGTTCCGGTGGTTAAGGATTACACAGATGTGAAAATTAATTTTAAATAATTCAATTTGTAAAAAGATAGTTCATTAAATGTGAACAATTCCAGAATGTAATTGTTTGCCTCAAAACAAAGGGAACAATTTGGAGTTGTGGTTATTTATGGGTTATTTTGCTATGATTTTACTGGTCTGGCCCACTTGAGATCAGATTTGACTGTCTGTGGAACCTGCACTCAAATGAGTTTGACACCCCTGATCCAAAATATTCTTATACATGGTGTCCGCGGGGTCTTAAAAAGTATTAAACGGCATTTTCCAAGGTTTTACATTTTGTAGCTTGTTTTCAATGAGTATATAAATTGTCCAAAGAGGTTGTATTCTACAGTCTGCCTGAATGTAATCATTGCGTAGGTGTGTAGTGTGATTCTGTGTAGTTTATTTATGGCATCCCATTGGGTTTGACGTCATCTGAACAGGACATCGCACGCTCACTGCTTGATAGTGCGCAAAGGTCCGTTTACGCCGGTTGTTAAACAACATCGTTATGGGGAAATGCAAGTCTGCGTCCAAATGGTTGGAAGATAAGGAGGAAGGACAATCAATACTGTATATAGTCAATGTGAGGTAAAGTGTGTTGCCAATGTAACCGGTTAAAAAGCATTTGTGACAATATGAAGCCAAATATGACATCATATTGTTAGGGCAATTATTAATGTTTACATTGTGTAAGTGACAGGGTTCTCCACAGCACACAGTTTCAACTTCAGGGTGGATCTCAGAACAATGTCTCCTTGTAAAGCTCTCCACATTTCTACAGGGTGGCGCTGTCTCACAGCAGCAGTGCAGACTCCATCTCAGACGTTCACGGCCCGGGAACTGATGACACCCACAATGTGAGCCAGTGGAGGGAGGTGCTGCCTGGGGAGGAGGTCCCCTTTGAGTTCGAAGCCCGTGAGAAACTCCGCCACAGGTACACCTCTGATTCACAGTACATTTTATTAACCAAACATGAACTTTTTTTATCAAACTGTTGATTGGTTTGGACATTTAACTGTCTTGACAGGCTGTCTGAAATGTTGCTATGAATTGATGGTATGCATCAATAATGTGCATACTGTCACTCTTTGGTATAAAGTTTCTTTATGCTTTCAGACTTCTCTTTGAATTTCATGTTATCAAAGTCAATATGACTTAAATTAATCCCAGGTTATGAAAAGAAATGATCTATGTAATTATGTGTGTTTAAAATGTTATCCTCTGCACATGTGTGTAGATGTTACCTGTTAGAGTAATGACACTTAAACACTACATAGACCCTGAATGGTGGGTTGATGTTAGGTGTAATTGTTGTTCCGTGCTATGCTGTGCTTTGGCTTGCTACTCTTTTCATATAAAACTGTATCTAGTATTAATGAGTGAGTGAAAATGTGATTATGCCCTCTGCAGACAAACTCATGAGCTGAAGCTTCACCAGCTGGTGGTGCGGGTGTGTGGGTGGGAGCAGGTGAAGCCGGTGTCCGTGGACAAAGTGGGCGTGTTCTTCCGTTATGCCGCTCCGGACAGAAACAGCTCCTCCAACACTGTGAGCACCACTCAGAAACAGTTTTTCACCTTTAGCGTTAATGACAAATTGCAGTGGAGTTTGATGTTTTTCTCCCCTACTATTTCACAGGTTGGCAGTCCTATTAGCAGAACCAACATCATCCACCCGCATGTTTATGTGAGTCACACTACTTTTTTTTTTATACAAGCACAGTACAATACTATTCGATATACGTTATTGTTCCCGTAAGGAAATGTGTTCTGGACTCCATCCTGCAGTTCCACATACATGTACATATACAAACATAGTAAACATTAAAATACATACACATATCATCACTCATACACCGTTTGCACATACACAATACACAGACGCACCTACTGATGCAGGCGACCTATTGCACAACCCTCATGGCCAACATGAGTATTACATCACATGTGAGTGTTGAGCAGCGTAATGGACAGAGGCAGGAATGAGTGCTTCTAGAGCAGGGGTGGGGAACCTCCGGCCCCCGGGCCGTATACGGCCCGTGAGACAATTAGATACGGCCCTCAAGGTAACACACGCAAAAAAGAAAAAAAACAGAAATCAAGACCGCAAAATAATTAAACAAGCGAGTGCCTGTTTTTCCTGGCCAAGGTCAGGCTCCTTGAACACAACACAAGCCTAACGTTATCATCACGTGGTATATGTCTCGTCGTATTAGCATCTGGTTAGCTAGCTATGCTAACAAATATAAGAAGCTTTTTCTACAACCAGCGAGGTAAAGGCACATCTTTATATGATCATTATAGTTATAGAAAAATAAGAGAATAAAGTAAACAGAGAATACAGTTTGAAAGGGGAGTGATTTGTAAAATATCCATAAAGAAAAATGAAATCTGCTTACTGTTCTGTTTCATATGAGTGTTGAGAGATGTATCCATAGATCTCCTAATGTTGCTCTCAAAGTGCACCAGATTGATGCTTTTAACTTCAACATTTAAAAAAATATATCTTCCCCCCACCTTAAATCATGCTCACATGGATAGGATACTAAATACATTTGCTCACATCTTGTATCCATATCTTTCTGTTTTGGTGGTCATGCCACAACCGTGCACGTGCATGCATGCGCGAGTCATGGTGAGATATCTGAT